CTTTCAGCTCCGAAAGTCAAAAAGTTCCCTGATTTGATTGATGAAGAAACTGGAGAAAATTAAAAGCCTGTTAATCTGAATGTTCTAAAGTGACTCCTCTTTGCTTCATCTTTGCTTCGACTTTAACTCAATTCCTTTTTTTTGGGGGGGGGCGGGAATGGAGGGTTTGGTTAGACATAAGAGCAGTTTTATCAAAATAATAAAACATTATTATGTCAAAACTCTACTGGTGACAATTTTTGGACAGACATCCAGGGAATGCTGCAGGGCCCCTGAGACAGCAATGCGGCCCTAGTTACTTTGTACAAACTAGTGTATGAAGGTGTTAAGTCACCCTGAAGTGCACAGGGACAGAAAGAAGAAAGGGCACCGACCTCATCCCATGTCTCACTTCGAATCCGCAAACATTACTGAGAAACATTTCTGTGCTGGGTGCAAAGCTAGGTACTAGGACACAAAGTTAATCACTGCTAAACCCAAGGAGCTCAGAGTCCAATAGGGGAGACCCAGAGGGTCTCCCAGTTAGCAGCAAAATAAAGAGCTTTTATTTTGCTAAAAATGCCAACCAGTACAGACGGCAGGAAAAGGGGCACCAAGAAAGTTATACGACTAGGTTTTGTTCTCTGGATGGCTCTCCCGACCAAAGCGCTGTGCCAAGCCTTACAGAGGGCTGTGTCTGCTGGGCCATAACCACTTTCCGCTGCAACTTGGCTGAACTTAAAACTGAACAGGTGACTTGAAGGTGAAGGCTGATGATGGAAAAGAAAGCCTCTTCCTTCCTCCAGTGACGAGCACAGTCAGCCAGCCACTCAATCCTCTGGGAAAAAAATGTCACTGGACTTTTTATAAAGTTAGTCGTCCTTATATTTAAACAACCCAAATTGGTCAGGCATGTAAGCATTTAAACTCTAACGAGGAGAGTGCCACTATACAAGTAGCAGCCCAGTGCTGAGAAACGGTGGGCTCATTGATAGTTTGGGTGACTCTGATCCAGTCAGCCTGTCTTCTACATGTAGAACGCATGTCTGATAACCTAGATGATGGGAATGTGCTTATAAAGCGCAAAAGAAATTTAAAAACTAATATCAGGAATCCAGTGGCGACTACCACCACAAAAGTGACACATACAAAGGTGTCACTGATTAACGGACTCAGAAACTTTCACCCTGGAAATTCCACTAAACCATACACTACTCTTTTCTATTAGGACAGACACTGCTCAGAAGCAAAGTCCTGCTCCATCACCGCCAGCCGCTGAGGAACTTACTGCCTACTGACCAGCTGCTTGTAAGGAATGAGAGCAAGAGGGGAAGGTTTCAGGAGTAGAGAGGAGAGAGGGAAATCTCTCCACGTACAGAGAGCCTCCCATGTCACATGTCTTCAGTACATCAGATTCATTAGTTAGTTCATCCTTGAAAGCTTCCAACATCCATTCTCTGCTCCAGAGAAAAGTTTATTGTTTACTGGACTCCAGAAGTAATCCCAGTACTTGCTTGTGGGTTACCAGCAAACATTTTTTATTATGCAGTCACTGTACCACATCCCAAGGACTAAATGAAACACTGCACACATCACCAGAACATTTTCAGATGACCTGGAATAATCCCAGTCCTTGATCTCCAGTGCTTATTATTGGAACATTGTGAATTAAACAAACTTTGCGGAAAAATACATTTCACATATGTGCACCTAAACAGATACACAGTCTAAGCAAATAGTCTGTATACGGGTTCCATAAAGAAAATCCAAAATAAAAGCGATACTTTTATTACTAGTGAAGAACATTAAGTTTATTTTAATTACGTAGAAATAAAGTCACGAAAAGAGGCACCTAAAAAGGACTGAGAGGATAAGAAATAAGGGAGAAAATGAAATGTAATACAGCTGCAATTTTTGTCACATTTAAGAAAGTGTTTTGTCTGGGTTTGGGAAGGATTCTCTGTGTGTTGTGTGTGTGTATGGAAAGGGGCGGCTGCACTCTTCCCACTAGAATACAATAAAATGAGCCACTTGGTAGCACTTCTGCCTGCGGCATACAAACATAAGCCCATCAGAAGAGTGGAGATATGCAGTCTCTTTAGAAGAGGTAATCAAGAAAAGTCACAGAAAGGATTGTTTTGTTGTTTTCACCCTAAAATTACTGCCTCATACTTAGTCCACGTTTTCCTGATGTCAGATGTATTGCCAAGCTAAGTACAACTTATCGATTTAATACCCTATTATTTAGTGACCTGTTTGTGTTATGAAATGTCAAATAAATCAGATTATCCATACCAAAGGATTTTCGCAAACTTGTCGAAGAGTCTAATTTTACAGGAAAAGTATTGAAGTATCAAAGTAACCTAAGTTCTTTACTCTGACACCCCTTCCACCACCCAGATACCCCCAGATACATACAAACACAGAAGCTCCACAGTTCCATTGGGCATTTCTGTGAGGAAAAAACAAAGAAACCGAACCCACCTTCTCAGTTCACATTAGCCCTACTTCCAACCCATGAAAATCTTTCCTGATAAGAAACACTAAAATCTAATTATGAAAACCTAGTAAGCAAATCTGATAAAATACTGTTTCTTCTAAACAGATCCTAATGGAAAAGCAGTGTTCAAACAGGGAAGGTTTCTCTGATTCCCCATGGATGAAGAAACAGGTTATTTGTTCATTGTTTCCACAGTGTCCACTCAATGAACACATACTAAATGGGCCAAACCAAAAACAAACAAACTTCAGCAGCTTCAGCCTTTCAGAGAAGCAGAAGCCTTTTCCAGTTGGGTACTGACAGAACAGTGAAATGAATAGAGTGCACGAGAAATGCAGCAATGAGAAAAATAACTGGGGGAGATGGACAAATCATTCTGCTGCCTCCGAGGCAAACTTCCCAACTTTTGAGAAGCAACAAACGGCAGCACCACCAGCCTGCCTACCTATCTATCTACACACGAAAAAACTACTTGGAAGCAAAGCACCGTGTTTGCAAATATCCACCATCCTGCATTTACGATACTGCAAAACATGGCCAGTAAGCCGGGAGATTTCTCCTCTTAGATATCCTCTCTGCACTGTCAAACGGGGAAGGTCATTTTGCCTGGTCACTTAGATAATCCCCTCTCTCCCTGCATCACAGGAGTTTTCCACTTTGGGATTGCCCAACTTTCACATGCATCGGAGTAAAATAACCATTCAGCGACTTTATTTACCTCGTTTAAAATAAGAAAGAAAAAAAGACGTTCACTGTGCAATGCCCAGGAAAAGCTGACACCAGAGCTGTCTCCCCGACAAGCGCTTGCAATTACTATCAGAAGAGAGCGGGGAAAATCCTGACTGATCGGACCCAGGGAGTACTTAAAATTAAAAAATATATATTATTCCATCCCCAGTGGGGGCTGGAGAACTTTTTTTCTAAGCAGACCACCCCTCGGGAACAAAAGTTACATTTCAGTCACATGTTGGGAGTAGGAGTCGGGAGCAGGTTTTTTAAAAAGCGCACTAATTACGGGGGTGTTTTATAGTTCAAGAGACCACTCGGGCTCCTCCTGACCAATTGTGACGGGCATTTCATTGTCAAAAAGAAAGGGGGGGTGGGGGCTAGGAGCCGATAGGAGGGTCGGCGGGGGGAGTAGCAAGGTTACACTAAAGGGTACAGCAGCCGTCGCGAGCCGTATCTGCTTCCCTGGCGCCCCAAATAATTTACTGCGACCACAGCAACTGCAACGGCCCCCTCTGAAGAGCCCAGCAGCACTGCCCTGGCCGGTGCAGCTCAAGGATTTCGACCACGGAGAGGGAGGAGGAGATCTTTACCTTAATGCTACACTGAGCAGGAGTCTCAGACATGTCTCACAGCGAGAGAGATCAGGAAGTTCTCAGTTTTTTTCCACTTTCCTTTCCTCTCCCCAACCCAGAAACGCTCCACGGCCAGCCGGACGCGGTCATTTAAGAAGTTTCTTCCAGCATCTCTCCCGGCAGCCG